CCATTACCTTAAGGGTACTACGGATTTGGGCTTGTTCTATCCCTACGGATCCTCGAGTGATGCCACACCTCTTGCTTCTCGAGTTGATTCTCGCCTTGTTGGTTATGCCGACGCAGGATATTTATCTAATCCGCACAAGGCGCATTCTCAAATAGGTTATGTCTTTACTGTTGGAGGCATCGCAATCTCTTGGAGGTTAACTAAACAGACCTTCGTTGCCACTTCGTCTAACCATGCTGAAATTCTCGCCTTACATGTAGTAACTAGGGAATGCTTTTGGTTGAGAGTAGTAGTGGGCCATATTCGAAGCTCATGGGATCTTTATCCCACCGTTGATGTCCCGACGATGATCTTTGAAGACAACGCAGCATGCATCGAGCAACTCAAGAAGGGTTACATCAAAGGAGACAACACCAAGCACATTGCGCTGAAGTTCTTCTTTTCACATTAACAACAAGAGCATCAAAAGATTGAAGTAATGCATATCCATTCACAAGACAATCTGGCCGACCTCTTCACCAAATCACTACCGAATACGACGTTTCAAAAGCTTGTTCATGGAATTGGCATGTGTAAAGTCAAATTCAGGGGGAGTATCCTGAAGATACTTGCTTGATCTTAATGTACTCTTTTGCCCTATGATTAAGAGCATTTTTCCCACTGGGTTTTTACTACCTAACTGGGTTTTAACGAGGCGCCCACCTTGGGCTGGTCATATCCTTGATGTCGTCCCGTAGACGTTTCTTTTGACTTTTGCATTTCTCACGCATTTTTTCTTAGACTATGGATTTTGTCCCTACTCAAGTTTTTGCCATAGCCTTAGGGTTTTTTTAGTGAGACTGACTACTTATGCAAGTTCCTACCTTATTGAGAATAAGCGTTGTTCCTAGTTATCCTTTCCTATTACAACTTGTTTACTTGGAGATGACGGAATATCTTTTCTCCTTTTGCTACTATAAATAAAGGCACAATGTAGGATGGATAACAACACATATTCCCTTACAATTCTACAAACACATCTCTCTCAATCTCTCCACTCTTCCCGCTGGCACCCTTTAACCTTGTCAGATAAAATAGACCACAACAAAAAATTGATTTTAGTTCCTAAACTCTTTTTAATGCTAGCTTATATATTCAATGTTTCCTTTTTTTTTTATTTATAATTTTATGGTGTTCATAAATTAAATTTTACGAAAATATTATAAATTTTCATTCTCATTATGGTTAGTATCTTATATAAGAAAATATTTTCATAGAGATTTTTCGGTATACTTATGTTTTTGCATATTTTCTTATATGCCACAATTCATTACAATATATTTAGGTACGAATATTTCGGTATACTAGGTTAGTATAATATGTTTAGGTACGAACATTTCGGTACACTAGTTTAGTATAATGTATTTAGGTACTGACATTTTGGTACACTAGTTTAGTATCATATATTTAGGTACGGAATTTTCGATACACTTATATTTTTGCATATTTTCTTATGTGCCACTGATTCACTACAATATATTTAGGTACAAATATTTCGGTACATTAATTTAGTAAAATATATTATGATATGGACATTTAAGTACACTAATTAGAGGAAGTTAAATAAAATTAATGAATTAAAATGGGTATAATAATAAATTTAAAATTTAATATAATGACATTAAATAAGATATCTATTAAATATTAAACAAAAATATAATATGAATTTGAATTAAGTACACATTAAAGAACTAAAATTAATATCCCATCTAACATCAGGTTTTTATTAAATTTTAATCTTCTTCGATTAAACTTCAAAAACCCCTATTACGAATGAACTTATCCAACCTTGCACCATAAAATTAGGAGAAAGGGAAGTGGAATTGATCCTTGTCTATGCTAACGAGGAACAGATTGGACATGACGTTGATTATCACAATAACTGCACAATCAATTTCAGTGCACAATATGAATCGTTCTTGTTGGAATCAAGCAACAATGAAGTCTTGCTGATCAATAAACTGAATGATGTTTCTCGAATTCGAAGACGGATGGATGATGAGCATGATGAAGAAAATGAAGGAAATCCTGATCATGATGATGAGAAAGCTCGGAACATGCAAGCAAGTCATGATCACAAGGATAAAGGAGAAGGTAACAACGGCTACATCGATGACGATGAGGAAGCCCAGAACATGCAAGCAAGATGAAGGAATATCAATTAATTTGCAACAAATACAACCTCCGACGAATATTTTTCGAAACTATTATCTCGTGAGATCGGTGTCTTCTACCCCGATAATGGGAAGAATTGAGAAATACTTTCCAAGCGTCGAAATTTCAAAGTGGTCTCGGATGAGTTGCTTTACACCAAGTTTGGAGCAGAGAGAGTAGATATAGATATTGATGATTATTCTTTACATAACCTTGTTTAAGAGGTGCTGTTATTCCCATCCCAGTATCTTATTTTCCCACTCACTTTTCAATAAAATTTTTAATTACCAGTTGATCATTTATAAAATGACCAATAAAGAAATTAAAAGATAATATACAGGTTCTTTAAGGGGAGGGATTCTATTGTAGCCATATATCAGTCCTTGAATTTCCTTGTCCAAATTAAATTCATGTTGTGGTTTGTAATTCGATTCAATTTACGTCTGAATCTGAGTTGTGATGGAGGGATCACTATTCCAAAGCTCTAGCATGACGGTGACAATCAGTTCACTGAATAAGAAACTCGAAGAAGGCAAAAGTTGAGTAAGGAGCCTAGAGCTGTTGTTCAAAAATTGAGAAAAAGAATTTCCAAATTAATTGAACCAATTCTCCAAAACGGGAATGAAAAAAATTCAGAAAAATGAACTTTGCAATTTGAATCAAGGAGGAGGGACACCGAAATCCGTTCTCAAAAAAAGTAGTACTTGAAAAAACAACAATCCCAATTCCTCGAATCCATATCTGAATTTGAAAGACAACACGCAAAGATCTTTGATTTGTCTTTTAAGATTGGCGTTTGATTTTTCTTAGAGACAACTTTATAATTGTAGGTATATATATTAGAGGTTATTTTTGGAATAATAGTGGGTGGGGAAATACTATTTCAATTTTTAACTTTTTATGGTGGATGAAATTATAATGTAGGTGGAAAAATCGGATAATTGGGTGGGTCTAACCTTTCTCCTTGTTTTTCATAGGAAATAAAAGGAGAAAATTACAGCAATACCACTATTATGGCACATTTATGATTTGTAATAGGCACAACTTTTTACCATTTTGCTTTATTTAGGTGTATAGGATTATTTCATTCATACGTATGGCATATAAGTTAATCTAATTTAAATTAAGCTTCCTTAATCCAACATAGTTGTGAGGTGGGTCATAGTTGCAAGTGATAAACAAGTTGCAACCCAATAGGGTTAGAATCCAAAGATACACATTTTGAAACATATTTTTGTGTGGCTCCCACTTCATAATTTTATTTTTTAGGATTCGAACCGTTTGTATTTCAATTCATTATTCATGAATCATTCTTGAAAAAAAGTAGATAAATCTAAAATTATTAATACATTCATTTGAGTGATTACGATTCAACAAAGAAATACTAAATTTAATCCAACAATCATATAGCATCGAATTTGAGTGATTTTTGGTAGAAATGATATTTGAGCGAAGACATAAAAAATAGGTGATTGGATTGTTGAAATATATTACGGAGTGGGTCTCACAAAAATGTGTGTTAGAATATATGTCGCGTCCGGATCAGATCCTAACCCATATACGTGCCCCAGAGTTGGCCTTGAGAGTGTGCAAAGGTGCATTGCACAAGGCCTTGATTCGGAAGGCCCCCTAAATTTTCAATACATGTACACAAAAGAATGTATCATATATTTAAATGCGCAATATAATACTAATTTCGGTTCTAGCACTTGTGGTTTAGCTGTTCTACCCAATTTGAACTCAAGACCTTTGAAGATAAGGAACAATTCATGTCCAATCAAACAAACTTATTTTTGGTGCACTAATTTGTAGTATTTTTAATTTTATAGATAACAAAATTGAAAAAAATAAAAAGTAACTAAGAAAATATAGCATAAAAAAATGAAAGGCCTTCATCTAAATTTTATACAGGATCTCTAAATACTCAAGGCCAGCCCTGACATGCCCCTTCTCAACTTCTCTCACCACAAAGCACCTTTGTAAAAGTCTTACTCGATTGGCTTTGCCATTGTACAAAATTCAACGCCTTGTGCCATATTTGATTGTTAGAGCATCTTCAATAGAAGAAGTGACATTCTTTTTGGACCAAAAAACAAATATTATATTATATATATATAGAAGATGTGACATTTTACACTTTAAAATCTGATTTTTCAACAGGAATATTTGGGACGCAAAAAATTCTACCCCACAAAAAAATGAACACAAAGTACTATATTTGTATTTTCTTTTGTCCATCTCAGTAGATGAGCCCCACTAACAACAAAACAGCTGCTCATTTAAAGCCTCCTTTGTTGTTGGAGAGTAGGAGACTTTTTATTGGTATTTCTTAATTACGGGACATGGACTAGGGGTGGGTTCAAAAAACCGAAAACCGAAAAAAACCGACAACCGAACCGGACCGAGGCCGAAAAAAACCGAACCGAAAAAAAACCGAACCGAAATTGTCAAACCGAACCGAACCGAATCTGACCGGTTCGGTTTCGGTTTTTGAGGCGCGGAAACCGAACCGAACCGAACCGAACCGATATATATAATTTTTTTGAATATTTATAAATAGTTTAGTCATACAATCATAACAAAACAGAACTTGTTGCCAAGTTGGTTTCAATGAAACTTTACAAGTATGGAGGCATGGGTTCGAACCCTCATGCCTCCAGAATTTGTGAGATGATTTTAAATTTTTTAATCTTTTTATTGTAACCCTAACCCTCCTCCTCCTTATTTTTCATTCCCCTTCCCTGCCTCTCTTCCCTCCCTCTCCTCTCTAGACTCCAACCCATCTCTCTCTCCCTCCCTCTCTGTCTCTCTCTCTCCCCTCGCACGTTTACATGCATCTCTCTCCTCCTCCGATCTGTCTTCATGCTTTTCCCCTTCCCTCTCTCTAATTCGAACTCTTTCCCTGCACTGAAACCCTAACGCTAGATTCCCAATTTCTTCCCCAAAACGCTCCCTTTTAGATCCCATGGAGATGGCCTCGAGTCCGCGAACGGTGGAGGAGATCTTCAAGGATTACAGTGCACGGAGAAACGCCGTTGTCCGCGCTTTAACTGACGGTACTCCAATCTCTCTCTCTCTCTCTCTCTCTCTCTCTCTCTTCTCTGTTTCTCTCTCTTAATTTTCTTTCGGGTTTTGGAAATCTCTGACCTTTTCGGTGGTTTTGGTTTCTCGCAGATGTCGATGAATTTTACGGACTCTGTGATCCAGGTAAATGCCTAATTGATGGCTGAGGAGGGTGTGCGCGGAGGAGGGTAAGTCGTTGAAGGAGGAGTTGATGGCTGAGGAGGAACGCTCTCGAAGATTGACTCGAGTCAAGTGAGTATTTCTCTTGAATTTTTTTAATTTTGATGAAAGTACTGGTTTTTGGCGAAGAATGTAATTTATAGGAGTTAATTTGGTGTTAGAATCCGCTCAATTTTGATGGGTTTTTAGTTTGTATGTCTATGGTTTGCTGTTTGGGTGTTTGTTGTTCATGAACTGTGTATTTCGTGTTTTTGATTTCGGATTGAGTGAGAAAATCGTATTGGAATTTGATTGATGTTATTATCTTACGCACAATTGAGGGACTATGATTTTGGAGCTGAATTCAAGCATTTGGAGCTTGATTCACGAGAGTGCGGAGTGTGTATGTTTAGTATACTTATGTTATCTGCTTCATATACAGGATGGAGCTTTTGGTTGAGGGAGAGTGGAACTGTTTCCAAGAACGCTTAACGTTTATGAAATGTGATTGTTGTGGCATGTGAATGTCAATTTCTTTCAGAAGGACATTGGAATTAGGTTGCTTTCTTACGCTGTAGGTCTCTGGATGGAGCTTGTTGTTTGGGGGATCTGTTCTTAGAAAAACCAGGCACTGAGTTGGCCGTGGCTTCATAAGAAGTCTAGGCATAATTTTGGAGGAAACAAAAAAAAAAAAAAAAAAAAAAAAAAAAAAAAACCGAAACCGAACCGAAAAAAACCGAAATAAAATTGAACCGAACCGAACCGAACCGAAATTTCGGTTCGGTTTCGGTTTTGAGAAAAAACCGAACCGATGAGAACCGAACCCAGCCCTAACATGGACCACATTGTACCAATTTGGATCCTCTTTGAGGATCTCGGAGATCTGTAAATCGTGTCCATTAATCGTACATCGTACGATTAGAAATTATTTTAAATAGTTTTATTTAAAATTAAACATCAACAGTACCTGACAAAAATTGACCGCACGATATACGATGAACGGACACGATTCACGGATCTCCAGGATCCTCACCAAAATGATCCTGAGAGGATCTGTTGGTTTTTAGTAAAGGGGTGACCTACCGTATTAGTGAGTTCACCACTATTAGACAGATGGTGTAATGTTGTCTCTCAAGATGTGAGCTACTAAAATTAACTTCACCCCATCAAGATGATTTTTAAAATTGAAAATCAATCAATGTAGTCTTTAAAAATTGGTGTCGCAAATCAATGTTGTCTTAGGTCACAATTTTGTCAAAAATTTTGTTATGTGCTAATGTGACAAGTAATTGGATGCCATAAATTTAATTAAATATTTCCATGTAAATTAAAAATATTTAAATGATAAAAAAATAATTTTTATTTTTGTATAATTAAAATTAAAAAAAAAAGAAAAAAAAAAGAACTGTTCTTTTACCCCGCCCCTAATTCAAAACCATATTTGCCTCAATATTAGTCACGATCTTTACTCCGGTCACCGACGATCTCTTGGGCTTTAGCTCCCACGACTTTCATTCCTTCGCCACCACCATCGCCTTCTCCTCCTTACCGGAACTCGCCGACAACTCAAACATCAACTTGTCGCCTAACTTATTATCCTCAACCAAGTTTGTCCCACCCAGACTCAGTCCTAACTCGGTGGAATCGAACAGTGGCTGAGTCGAACCTAACGACACCGATGTGGCTCGAGTGTGAGGAGACAACTACTCTACTTGGCCCTGATGTACTCGGCTTTTCTCCAAATGGAACGTCCATCCCCTTCCTCTTCAAGCTATGTTTTGCCGCCTCTGACACCACCGCGATGATCTGCCACAACCGATCGGGCTTCCCAACGAAAATGTAAGGAAGCGTCTGGAGAATTGCCTGTAGCTCTTCGTAGACTATGTTATCTCAAATTCCCATCTGAAATGGACGTCGATCAGCAATCACAGACTTTGAACTTAGAGACGGGATTCGACGGCGTCGACGATGCCGGAGTAGTAGGAGCCGAGGATGAAAGTGAAGGAAAAAAAATTTCTTGGCTAGTAACATGTGAGAACATGTGAACACATAAGCAAACTATTAACAATTTAAAGTAGGCATGCATTCAAAAACAATTCTAAAACCTATGACTTTCAAAGCCTAGTGAATGGTGAACCAAAAGACTCTTTAACAAATTAAAGAGAAGTGAGAGTTTGAGTTTCATTACCCTTGAAGCTCATCCTTGTTTACACAAGGGATTCACCCAAGTGAAGGGCCTTTAAGTCACCTTCTTTGCTCCTTGGATGGTTGCTTCTTTGCTTCTCCTTTGCTCCTTGAGGATTTGAAGAGAGAAACTCCAAGAACACCAAAAGTTTGGTGTTTCTAAGTCTCCACACCAAGGATGAGGTGTGAAGATGAAATGAATGACTTAGAGGAAGGAAGACTGCTAGCTATTTTCCTCTAAGTATGGCCGGCCTCTATAGAGAAAAAGAGAGAAAAAATTTCTCCTTTTTGCCTCAAGAAAACCCTAGTGAGAGAATGACTAATAAAGATGCTTTTATACCACCTCACATGTGAGTGGCAAACTTGCAATTAACCCAAGTTTAATACCACTCACACTCTGGCCGGTTTTGACTTGTTTATTGGGCTCCAATTTGTTTTAGTTGTCATATAACTTAAACATAATGGGTCTTGTGGACCAAAACCCTTTTGGACCTCGAGACCCGAAACTAAATTGAAAGCCCAATACGAACCTTAACTAATTAATTAATCTTGACCATTCTCAATTAAACCATTTAATTGCTTATCCATCTCATTTTTATTTCTTCACTTTCATCCTTACTTGGTGTACGATCCATTAGGTTCCAATTAGCAAGGCAGCGCGCGATTGTTACTCTTAACGATTGATTGTGAATTAAAACTACATTTCAATCTTCCCTTTGATGAAGATTAGTGTTTGCTAATCTTCAGGGCTTCACAAACCATGAGTAACACCTAGCTGTATGTCATGGCTACCCAATCTAAGTAGAAGTGGTTGGAGAACTTATCGAGTTACAATTACAATGCAATACGGTCATTCTCTAATACAATACTCTGAATCACATTGTTTAAGTGATAGTTTGTTTCATGTTTACTATCCAATGTGATACTTCTCTATATGATTCAATTAAATATGATTTGGAACATTCTTCAGTCATATTCGTATGCTTTGGCCAAAGACTCCCAAATTATATCTCAAAGTATTCCCTTTCCACCGTGGAAGGTTAGAGATCCCTTATTGTGCATTCATATGCCTACATGACTAGATAGCTTGACCCCAATAATGCCGTGGACACTCTCAATGGAATGCCTTTGACATAGTCAAAGATTAAGGACCTATCCATCAGAAAACTATGATGCCTCAAGTCAAAGGACTACTTTGTATATTGCAACTTACGAGTTTTTATATGACATGTATGTTCGAACTCTCTTTTGATCATAGTTCAGTGTACTCAATTACCTTTTGAGCTTATATGTGTTTGTCTTAGTGTCTAACACTAAATGACTTAAGACTAGTCATACTCATGCTTGAGTTAACATAACACATACTAACCTTAACGGATTGTCAATGCCCAATTGGCAATCCTACGGCTAGGAACGTTTTAAGAATGAACATAAGAGAAAAGTCTCGTTAATCTAACTTACTTAGATCACTTCTCTCTTAGATTAAATACATTCCTTGGATTCCCTTATTGCTTAAACACATGATACAATAAATAGTGATTAACAATAAGCTTTGCCCTTCATGAAACATATAATAGTTTAACACAAATTAGTGGCTTTGTGGGCATACTTCTAACAGAAAGTTAGGGAATCATCTTTGTTCAGGCTAGATTTGTCCCTCGCACAACCCCCTTGGGTCTTGCCCACCAGGCAAGGTTTGTAGCTTGATTTACTATAATGGAAGATTGCTATTACTTTGAAAGGTGCCTTTGTTAGGCCTTGAGGCTCGCAATCAAAGCTCATATGAGCTCGAGTATGCCATTGCTATCTTTGTATAACATATTGTCTTTTTAGTTATGTAAACAGGTTAATTACTTGAGACACAAGTTAATTTGACTTCTTAGTTCGAGCGGATTATTCACATATGGGTAGTTCGAGCGGATTATTCACATATGGGTTAAGTCTGTATAAAGTTCATTTCTTGCCTTGTAAACAAGGACTTTTATCTTGTGAATATGTATGTCCAAATAAGGAAAGTTCAAAGTCCTTCGAGTTATTTCTTTAGTTAGCAGATTCAGTTAACAACACATGAACCAAAGTAAAGAGCTTAACATGGTTAAGAAAAGGTGAAACTCAACCAAAGTGTTTGAAAATGACATAGGTTCACATGAAACAAGCACAAATATCATATCTACTTTATTTAAGTAGAAATAAAGGAGATTCGGGCAAGATTACAACCTTGTCGGCCAAGGTTCGTCCTCTTGCAGCCATTTCTCCTTGTATTTTATAGTAGTTGAAGGCTTAGAAAAAGGGATATAAACTAGTTTTCCTAGAGGGATTCGATACTACAACAAAGGGAATAAGTAGCAGAGCTTCTAAACATGACACAAGATAACTTTCTCTGGTTGTACAACAAAGGGAAAAGCTGAGTAAGCTAAGGCTTTCTGATCTGGGGCTGTTGGAATGCAATGTTGAGTGTAGTTGTTTGATTGGTTAAGAGAGTCTTCTGTTTGTTTTCCTCATTGCTTTTATAGACCAATTTGCCTGAATGCCAAGTTCTTCCCCTAGATAGCTTTTGGGGTGAGGTGAGTCACCATCTGCTTTTGAGTATTTACCCTTTCATGCCATGAAAAAGTGCTTTTTGCTGGGAATGAGTGATAGGAGCATATTCATGCGACTTAATTAGTTTGTTCTCGTGCATTTATGTTGTGTTTACTTATCTATTTCAGTGTTTAAGGCCACTTTTGTGTATTTTCAGATTATAAGGCCAAAGTGTGCAAGAAGATGCAAATTGGAGCCTTTTGGAGCGAAACAGGAATGAATGAGTTGAAGACGTGAAGAAACGACGAATTCCTACTCCAACGATGAATTCTTACCAAAACGAGGAATCCTACTCAAACAAGGTTTCCTATTTTAGGAAAGTTAACCCTAAGTTTCCCGTTTTGGTAACCTTTCCTAATCTTAAACGTCCGTATTTTCTAGCCACTTTGAAGTCCTTGTAGGCGCTTTAGGACACAAAACGAATGCCCTAGCCCAAATTCCAACCAATGCCGTGGGCTTTAGCCCAAGTCCCTTCCCTTGCCGTGCAAGGGGGGGCATTTTAGGCCCATTCCAATGTTGTGAAATTAAACCCTATTTCCCTCTCCTAACCTAACCCTAGCCGCAC